CACTGGATACGATGGTCCGCATTGTGAACAACCTATTTGTCGTCCAGGCTACTGTAAAAATGGAGGAATCTGTCGTATCCAAGGTGGAATACCAATATGCGATTGCGCTGGCACTGATTATGATGGAAAGTACTGTGAGAACCCCGTCTGTAGGCCAGGTTACTGTCAGAATGGAGGCCGTTGCATTGTAGAAAATGGTCGTCCGGTCTGTGAATGTCGGGGAACAGGGTATGGAGGGAGCCGATGCGATCAACTTCTTTGTCCTCCTGGCTATTGCCAAAATGGAGGTAGATGTGTTTTAGAGAACGATCGCCCGGTTTGTGATTGTCGAGGAACTGGATATGGAGGAAGTCGGTGCGATCAGGCCATTTGTCCTCCGGGATATTGTCAAAACGGTGGACGTTGTGTTGTTGAGAACGGACGTCCAGTCTGTGACTGTCGAGGAACGATGTATGGGGGAAGTCGATGCGATCAGGCCATTTGTATCCCAGGCTACTGTCAGAACGGAGGTCGATGTGTTGTTGACAATGGACGTCCGGTCTGTGATTGTCGAGGAACTGGGTACGGAGGAGGTCGATGCGATCAGGCCATCTGTCCTCCAGGCTATTGTCAAAATGGAGGACGTTGCGTTATAGAGAATGGCCGACCGGTGTGTGATTGTCTTGGGACGGAATATGGAGGAAGTAGGTGTGACCAGCCCATCTGTCCACCGAATTATTGTCTTAACGGTGGCCGCTGTATCGTTCAAGGCGGTCAACCGGTCTGCGATTGCACGTCCACAAGATATCAGGGCCGACTATGCGAGGTGCCCATCTGTCGACCCGATTTCTGTCTCAACGGCGGCCAGTGCATTGTACAGGGTGACAGAGCCATATGTGACTGTCGCGGCACGGGTTACGATGGAACCAACTGTGAGACGCCCATCTGCCGACCAGGATACTGCATGAACGGAGGAAGTTGCACAATTATTAATGGACGTCCTACTTGTGATTGCTCAAATACGGGCTATGGAGGCCAGTTGTGCGAGCAGCCGATTTGCAGGCCCGGCTTTTGCCTTAATGGTGGCCGATGCATTGTCCAGAATGGACAAGCGATTTGCGACTGCCGAGACACAGGATTTGTGGGCCAGCACTGTGAGCAGAGCATCTGCCGACCCGACTACTGCATGAACGGCGGTGTCTGCTCAGTAATCAACGGGCAGCCGACTTGTGATTGCCGGGACACGGGCTACAGCGGACCATTGTGCGAACAGCCCATATGTCCTGACGGCTTTTGTTTAAACGGTGGACGCTGCACTGTGCAGAATGGCCGACCAGTATGCGACTGCAGTGGAACGGACTATCGAGGTGATCGCTGCAGTCATCCCATCTGTCCTCCCAACTTCTGTCTCAATGGTGGTGTCTGCTACGTTTACGATGGCAACCCTCGATGTAACTG